GAAATTTTATCTTTTGACACAATACAAGGTAATAGAATTTTCTGACATTTTATCCCCTTAGAAAAATGCAACGTTGTTAATAAACCACAGTACATAGTGGACATTCTAACATCAGCAAATCAAAAGAAATATTGCAAAACAAGAAAACATTAAAAAGCCTTAAGGGAAGTCACTAAAAACAAATTTATCCTATGAATTTTCATTGGGAACGAAAAATTCTCATTGATAATAGAATAATTACATGTTTTATGTTGGCAATTACATGTTCCACATTGCGAAACTGAAAATATGTCCATATTCTGAGTAACATTAAACAGAGATTTTTTTAATAAAACTTTTCAAATGTCCCTACTGTGATATATAACATTGGGGCTAGTATTCTGTAAATGTTGATGAAATCTAACAGAATTTTTTAAAGAAAAATAATCTTTAAAAAATATGTAAAATTGTAAAAAAGCTATCTCGTAAATATTCCTTGCCACCAATCCAATAGAGATTTTATTGTCAGGTATTGGGGTGGAGGAGTGAGGAAGCCTATATTTTATGACTGCTTAACTCTATTAGAAATTTATTTACCTATTAAAAATTAAATGAAAATTATACCAAGGTTCATGCCACATTCATGGCAGGTACCTTGTAATGAAGAGTGCCAAGCACATTAAGAAATTCTCCCTCACTGATGAATGGCTATGCTGCTCTCCCTAGGTAAGTGCCACAAGCCTCACTTCTTGACCTTGCCACACCTTTACGTGTCAGGAAAACAAAGCAAATTCTTTGTAAGTATCACTTTAAAAATTACATGAGCAGAGAAACACATATCCTCAGGTATCAAATATTCCTCAGTTCTCTTTGTAATGGATTCATAACTTCCGAATAAGCAAATCAAAAACAGAAAAGCAGAATCAGGGTAACCCCAAAGTCATCCAAACCAATCTGGTAATTGGCGTTACTCCTCTTTTTCTATGAACATATTTTTAAATACTGCAGACAAGACCACGGTCTACAGCAGCATCCTAACTCCCAGAGGCAGGGGTAATGTTTAGCCAAGCAGTCCACACATGCATATGGAATATCCACCCACAAAAGCAGCTGATGGTAATATGCACATTTTAATCCCTTCTATACAAGCACATGGCTATCTGATTATCAGGTCTGAAAAGCATTTCAAACAACTATGTTTTATCAATTGTTGACAACTGATAAGCACAAAGTAACAGAAGCCTGAAAATACTCAGAATCAGTAAAGCAAGCACATGGCTGGACTAGAATAAAAAAATGTTGACAAAATCGTCTATGCTATTGTATAGAGGAGAATTAAAACTTACCTAATGCATTTTCATTAAAAAATTCTAGAATTCATGCCATGTTCATATTATTTTTTTCAACAAAACATGTCCTCTGACAATGTATTATTTTATTTACATACCTTTTAAAAACCACATAAAAACTTATTTCAGTCTGGCTTTTCCAATAAACCTTAATCACGCTACAAATTTCATCAATAATATGAGGATACACAATGTATAGGAAAGTTGTCATCTTTATCATGTCTACATGAAATTATATAATTTACAGGTTACTTGAAAAGATAGCCTGAAATATCAGGAACTTCATCTCAATTAGCAATATCTCATATACAGAACACAATCAAGGATTCACATCAACTTTACCAAAATTATTGGTATAGTTGTTATTTTATGTTACAAGCTTAATCCAGTGGCACATACAGCATTTTTAAACAAGCAACAGTACAATCACCTTACTTGTTCACAGAAAATCTGCAGCGACTACCAGCAAGCAAATATTTAATGGGATTCCCAACATCCTTTTGATTACAAGCAAACTGGAATAGGGTGAAAAATACAACATGCTATTTTAAAAAGAAGCTTCTAACTCTAAATGAAAGCCAAAGTCATCACTAAGTGCTAGCCAATTAACATCTTGAGAAAGAAGATTATTTACTCAACAAATATTTACTGAGTATCGGCTGAGTACGGGAGAGCTAGGAACCCTACTCTTAAAGAGCTCTAGAGCGAGCGGCACAAAGACAAACAAGGACAAAATTACAGTATAATAAGGTAAGTGTTAAGGAAATCTATTGGCACACAGACCGAAGGACCCCCATGGTACTTGAAATAAATGTATGAATTTACATCCAGGTTGGGAATGATGAGGGATACAATGTTCACTTTTCCAGAAATGCTAGTACAGTGGTAGGCTTCCACTGAAGGAAATCACCAGAAGGTTGTGGCTACATTAGTAACCTTCACAATCACTCCCCTGCATTTAATCACTTATATCATGAATCTGCATTTCTTGAAGAGCAAGTCATTAATAAATACCTAGAGATTAAACAGCTGTGCTTGACCTTATAAAGATTGAATTTCTAAATGTAACCTAACTTAAAAACAGATACAGTTACACTTTATTAACTTAGCTACCTTAAATGTTTGGAAAACATTTAGGAACTTGGAAGGTAGCAAAACAGTACATTGGTTTGGCAAAATAAATGTCAACATATGCTCCCTAATATACTTAATATACAGGAAAGCTTGAAATTCACTCAAAATTTATATATGTTTATTTTAGAGATGATTCTGATAAGCAAACTAGAACTAAATTATAAGGCAAGACTTGTCACAGGTACACCAGTTCCAAGTAATGATTGACAGGAAGGAGGTGATTTAAAGAAAGGTGAAAAGAAATGATAACACTAAATGTGTAGTCTGAGACCCTTCAATGTAGAGCTGATTTGACAGATAAGAACTTAAATAGAAATATGGTCAATTTCATTGTCGTTTCCTTCTCTTATTCAACTTGGAGATTCCTTGCAGGTACTAATAATATGAGGCTGGTTCACCAGTATTTGTAATGGTGAACACTTTTTCTTTACAGAAGAATCTATTAATGGATGGGAGGGAGGGTTATATTTAGAGGAAAAGGGGATTATGTTTTTCATTTCAATGTTCTTTTCTCTTTAAATAAACAGGGATTTTGTTTTGTTTACCACACATGCTTAAAGATCTCTAATATATACCATTCTGGGAAGACTAGCATTTTGAAAAAGATTAAATGTTGTTACAATAATAAGTGTAATTAAAATGCTATTCAGAGCCATGGTACAGGAATTTTATATCTCAAGGTACATAACAACCGATAGCACAGTCACTCCTGTGGAGAAGAATATCTTAATGAATGAATTTCAAATGTCTGCTTAGAGGAGATGCTTTTTATCTCTGCGTTGGCAGATTCCTCTGGCATGGAGCCCACATTCGACGGGAGTTGATATCCAAAGTTTCTTTACCCTCTTTTTTTCTTTTTTCTGCAGCACAAACATTTTCAGTGCTTTCAAAATAGTATAAATATTTTCAGGGCTTTTGACAGACAGTAAGGAGAAAAGTAATTTCCAGGTGTCCCCATTTTGTTCCCTAACTCTTCATACTGACATCTGGCTTAGAAGAACAGAATCTTCTCTAAAGGAGCAGTGGGGCTCTGTCAGCAGCTTCCCTCTCCATTGTTACCTCCACTTTGTGGGGGAACAATTATTACAAACAGTGCAGTTATATTATCTCACATCCTTTCCTTAGAATAGGTAGAAAATGCATCCAGAGCTGAAAATTTCATCCTAGGTGTCCTTCATTCCGCTAAATTAGGATGTTCATAAAATAAACTTGCAAAGGATGTACTTTAAAGAGTTAGAAAGCGATGTTATCTGCATTCGACAGGCATGAATTATGGGCAATACCAATTATTTAGGAAAAGTTGGCCTCATGTCAAATGAATATTCATTTCTCTCCCCAGGTATATTGAATGTCAGTCAACAAAATTCAAAAAATAGCTCAGAAGGTTTAATTTTCACCACGTGTAACCACTGAATACTCAATGGCTTGCAAGAAGACAACCTCATGCAAAGAAAATATTCTAGGTAACATGGATGATTGTATGCATATGTGACAAGTCCATGGTTATTTTATATTGTAACAAACCTCTTTTTCACTCAAGTAATATCTAAGGACTCTAAATTTCTGGCTAAAGCCAAAACCCAAAAATAAATAAATAAATAAATAAGGAATCATTATCAATAAACAAAATATGGTATATCCACACAATGGAATATCATTTGGCAACAAAGAGAAATGAAGTACTGATTGATGCTGCACCATGGATTTACCTTGGAAACATGATGTTGAGTTAAAGAAGCCAATTATGAAAGGCTACATATTTTATCACTGCATTGTTTATGCACTGTCCACAGTAGGCAGGTTAGTGGTTGCCAGAGGCTGGGGGGGTGGAAGGGTGGGAAGAGTATGGGAAATGACTGCTAATGGGTAGAGGATTTCATTTTAAGGTGATGAAAATGTTCTAAAATTAGAGATGTGTTATAAATTAGATAATGGTGATGATTAACAACTTGTGAATACATAAAACCACAGAACTGTACATTTTACAAGAGTGAACTTTACATTATATGAATCATATCTCAATAAAGCTGTTAGTAAAAAAAAAAAAAGGGGGGGGGCTGCATAGCTGATTCATGATGCTCCATGCAGAGGAGGTCTAAGTATAAGATAACTAAATTTCCAACCACATTCACTGGCACTGTGAATTTTATCACAGTGAACTCATATTTATATCCTGGGGTTTATCTCTTAAGCCTGCTAAAGTGTTTTGCCTTCAGTACTCATTTTCAGAAATACAATCCCCTCTTATGAGAAAGAGAGACAGGAGTAACTCCAACAAGGGGCCAACGGCCATAGTACTGTTCTTTGTTAATAAACTGTATTCTCTATCAATTCAGCTAATGCAATTTATTAAGCAAATGTATAATTCCAAGGAAATCTTTGGTATCCCTAATGTCTGGCAATCACAAAAGAGTTTTCAGGTAGTTACTTAATTCTCAACCAATCACAAGTCAAAAAATCTAGATACACCCGTATTTTGCAATTAGTGGCAATTATCAATCAATACAAACAGAAAATGCTGTAAATATGAATACTGACCTTGTTTCTTTTAACCCTTCTTTCTGAATGACTTCCAATATCTGCTTTGCTGTCATTGGTGAGTTTGGGTGCTTTTCTAGTGCCTAAAAAATAAAGATAAACATAACATTCCTTGATTATTGTATGGAAGCATACAAGATGAATATGCATGTGAATCATGCAATGGTTTCTTAAAATTTTAAAGGGAAGGGGTAGTTATATCAAAATAAGGTCCCATCACAAAGTTCAGGTGTCCAAGTGAGTATGCAACTTTTTTCCTGGACATTTATGGCAATTTCTGCAACATATAGGGGGCCATTCTTCAAAAATATCACAAAAGCATACACACACCAAAAAAGAGGAAAGGTGAAACCCAGGAAACCAAGTTAAAATTTCCCTTTATTAAAAATTACTAATATTTTATATTTAGAGACTTTTTCAGGCTGTTAACATGTTTCCTAAATGTCCAGGGCCTAGGAAACATGGAGCCTGAATACTATCAGTAGTAGAAGGCAAATTGCTCATCAGAAATAACCTCACTGGATTTGTATTTCCATGAATCTCTTTTGTTTAAAAAAAATGAGGAAAAAAATCCATCATGGTCAAAATATGAAAGAAGCATAGAGAAGCCCAACATACTCATTACAGTGTGTTTTCCAGTTCAGCTCAGTTTCCTTTCTTTTGCCTTTTCCAATTAACTTCCAATAAACCCCTTCATCTTCCCATTCAGCCCATCTCAGTTTATGAACTGAGTCCCATTTTCTTTCTCTCCCCTTCTGTCCTGCTTTTTGTAAGGGAATTCTTTTAAACAAAGTATGGGATATTCCTGGGATATAGTTAATTATTTCCATAGGCATTAGACCATCAGCCCTGGAAATGACATTCCTTTAGTTACCCAGGGACTTCACTACAAGTAGGGACAGAGTGAAACAACAGTGTCCACACTGCTCACCAACATGGACCACAGGGACCACCTTGGGTACAAAAACAAGTCTACAGACAATGACCTCCTCCAAGGGCAGACGACTCCTACTTAAAGATGCTGTTTGTACAGCAGCTTCTTGCACAAGTCATGGCCTCACGCCACTTAAAGAGTCTAGAGTTCTAATTTGTGATTATTGACTAGGATAACCATAGTTAGAATTAACAGGGTCACTCTAAAAACTAAAAATTGAAAATACTTGCACATCTGTTCAAAAAACGTGTTGCTCTCTTATACTATTAATGGCCAAATTTCAACTAGCTCACTAGCAAAAGTTTAGTTCCTCAGAGTCCTTAAATACAGCCTGTCCCCCCTCCCCATTAGGGCCACTTTCCTGTTCTCCTCCTATCTGTTTCCTCCACTCTTCCAATTTTCTCAGACTGGATCAGTCCCATAGTCATAGCTGGTAAGTTCTTTAAAGAATATAGAAAAATGAGCTACTCTAGAAAGAGGGTATACAGCAATAAATACGTCAGTTGGAAAGAAGGAAAAACGACCCCACAGAGGAGGGCGCTGGAGAGCTGAATTATAACTGGGGAAGGGGAAAAAAAGAAACATAGGCAATAGCTGTATAGGGAAGAGGACTAACATGTAAAAATACTGGTTAAAAAAAAAGGCAAGAAGGAAACTGCATAATAGAGCTGAAAAGGGGAAAAGATTAGATCACAAAGAAAGGCGAGAAAGAAATAGACATGAAAACAAAAAGGCTGACAGCGTTTTTAAAATAAGAACTGTAAGTAGAACAGTGCATACTCATGAATTACTGAAAGGCGATATACTGTGGTCACATGGAGTATATAGAGAGTGGGCATCACCCCAAATGACAGGCAATGCTAGAAACACTAATGGTCTCTCATAAAAGACATGGGCAGAAGGTCGATAGACACAAACATACACAAGTAAGCAAGCAAGGAAGAGGGAAACTAGCAGGGAGAGGCACAGGATGGCAGAAGGAGGGGGACAGCAGAGAAGGGAGAAAAAGGAGGAAAATTGAGCTGAACTGGGAATGTCCAAAGACAAACTGATTAAATCTAGAAAGGGCCGAAGAGGAAATTCCAGTGTACTAGGCAACGTTTTAATGGAAATTTGGGTGCACTCGAAAGTGGGGTTACTCACTGTGGAGGATTCCCTGTTTCTCTTCCTGAGTACAGGCCCCTCAGCACACCTGGGCAGCTCCTCCCAGCAATTGAGAGAATTTGGATAGCCCTGTCCCCTTCTCTATGACATCACATCCTACTCTACAAAGGAAGTAAAAGTGCCAAGAATTACATCATGAAGTGGATGAGAGGCAGGAAGGAAATGATGAAGCCACACAAAACACCAGAAGCCACCCTCAGTTCCTGCAAGACAGAGAAAGGAGACAGAAGGAGAGGTTCCTGGGTGTGAATGAGCTTCACTGAACTAACTGTGTGAACATTAATAGAACAATAGATAGGGAGAAAATACCTTCACGGAACAAAACATCGATACCATCAAAATAATGTGACAAATGGCAAAGACGTGAATCAGACTCGCAGGCAGCCATACGCAAACATGACAGCAGGAAGAAGCCACATTCAGGGTGAAATGGCATCCTACTACGAGACCCAAACTTTAGATTCTAGAGTAACTGCCCCTTACCCCAACAGCCACTTGGTTATAAAGGCGTACAGTTTCATGCACCCTCCAAAATTATTCTTTGCATTACACTTCTTGACTTCACCAGATTCAACTAGTATTTGAATGTTTTTATGGTTATGTAATGCTTAATTATTTTATTTCTTTCTTTCTTTATTTATTTATTTATTTATTTATTTATTTTTTGTGGGACCCTCGCCTGTGGCCGGGGATCGAACTGGCGCGCAGAGGCTGCGGGCAGCCTCATAACCCAGCGCTCAACCACTGCACCACCAGGGGAGGCCCCGTAATGCTTAATTTTAATACATTCCTCCAGTTGTTTTCTATCTTGTACCTACCTCTTTAGCAACTGGAGTCAAGGATTCATTAGAGTAGAGAAGGGAGTGGACAGCTCACAATTTTTGTTCCTTTTTTAAAAATTGTTTTTAATTTTTATTTATTTATTCTTTTAACTGAAGTAGCCTTAGGAAACCCCCACCCCCACCCCGCCAACCAGGTACTGCCACTGTACCATACCCACTGCGAAATCATTTTTTAACATTATTTTCCATAGTGAGATTTTTCTAAAAATAGGACCAATGCATATTTTAGATAATCAAAATAGGCTCACATTGGCTTGGGCAAGATTATGTAATTATGATAAAATAGGAAATTAAATTTAAAGTTTGCCATGGAGAATATCTGAAATAATACTGCTTTCTGAGAAAACTGTGAAAATGCAAACTCATACATAATACAATAGAAAACACAATGTACACACAAACCTACCCCCAAGAATAAGCCACTGCTAATATTTTTGTTTTCCTTCTAGCTTTTTATTCATATTAGTTTTAATATAATTATATAAAGAACATGTGTATATAGTTAAGGATCTTATCTTTCTCCATGTAATTTGAATTCTTCAAAACACACATCCTAACACATCACTGGGGATAAGCATTGGCATTATTTTAAAAGCTCAATTAACAAAAATAAATTTTCCAAAGACTACACTAAGTGTAATATTCTTAGATTATTACTGAGTCAAAAGAATGTGAACTCTATTGAGTCTCTTGATACACTGCCAGTTGTTTCTAGAATAATTTAACAATTTACACTCATCAAGAAATGAATCTGCCTCTCTCACTACAATTTCGTAAGTATTAAGCATCACAAGTATTAATAATACTTGCCAGCTTGGTAGGTCAAATAAGTAGTTACTCATTGTTATTTTAATTACACGCTTAATATTAACGAGGCTAAAGATTTTTTTCCAAATTGATGTCACATAGGACATGAGGATATGACAGGATATTTCAGTTTTCCTTATTAGTGTGTAAAAAGCTCATTGTTTTGCATAGTAATAATAGATATTTTTCCTTTTGTTGATTATGCTTTGGATAGTTAGGGAGATACACAGTTTTCTTTGTTTGTATGAACAACTCCATCAGGTTTTTCCATTGTGACTCTACTGCTCATGTTTATAAATTCCTTTAATTCAGAAAGCAAGCAAATGTCTACAAATATTCCTTTCAAGTCTTTTTAATGTCTTTATTTTTTAATTCATCTGTACTTTATCTTTCTGTACCAAAGTGAAACACTCACTTAAGTCCCCACCTCCCATTAGTAAGTGAAGTTTTCCCAGCATAATGTTTCATAAGCCACTTCCAGTTACTGAGGCATCTTCTACCACACATCAAAGCTAGGACAATGCGAGCTTTTTTGATTGTGGAACCAATATGTAAATATGGGAACACAAAATATAAAATGCACAAAAGTAGAGTTGATCTTGTTGAAGTGAAGATGAGAATGCCCAGAGCCCCCAGAGTTTATTCCCTCTTGTAGCTAAAAGGCACATCTGGGAGTCTGCAGGGTTCGGGGATAAACTGAAACCACTGTACTTGGGGCTCATCCAGAGGTCCTGCTAGGTCTCCCTGATCTTTCAATCAGTTACGGTTCCAGTTACACTGCTTTAATTGCTATAATATTACAATACACATCATTATCTGGAGAGGACATTGCCCTCATTATTCCTTCTTAAATTTTTAATTGTTCACATCGTTATATTTCTAGATGAAATTTAGATAGAACTCAATGAATATCTAATTAAATTTTTAAGAAATTTACAGACATTATTCCATGTCTTTAAGTTTTATTTTATCAACTGTAATAAGCTTCTTTTATTATGTGTTTTATATGTTTGGCTCCAAGTATGAATAAACTTTTCATATAACATTTATTTTATTGCTAATGCATACAAAACTGTTGAGTTATGATAATTCTCTACTGAACAGCTTAATTGATTTCTTAAAAGACCTAACAGTATAGAAGCACAGAATCGTTATTTTCTACAAGTAATTTTAATTTTGCCTCTTTTCTAATAGCTGTTTTCCTTCATACATTATTTGTATTAAATAAAAACTAATTTTTTCTATCCCCTTTCAATTTTTTTTGCTAAAAATTGAGCTGTTTTATAATTTATTTTTCCCCAAACAAGTTCCTTTAACTTGCCAAGTTGCCCTAGGA